AAAGCATAAGAGACTCTTAAAAACTGAGAACAAACTGAGGGTTGATGGGGGGTAGGAGGGAGGGGAGGGTGGGTGATGGGTATTGAGGAGGGCACCTTTTGGGATGAGCACTGGGTGTTGTATAGAAACCAATTTGACAATAAATTTCATATATTGAAAAAAATGAAATAAAATGTGTTGTTGATTCTCAAATCAGAAAATTGTCAAATGGCCATTTAAACAATATTCTTAATTTCCTGTTCAGAGTATCTTAACATTTAAAGCAAAAGTAGTTCACAAACCACCTAAAAATGTTTAACCCATGGTATTTAGACCCAGAGTAAAACTTTAAATTCATACAAAGGTTAAGGATTTGTTTCAATCTTTTCAGTTCACTGCTCTTTTTTTTTTTCTGTGCATACATATTTCACATAAGCTCTGTAGTCATAACTATAACAAGTGACACATGATCGACCCCAAATTGCTGCCCTGTGAAATATGCACAGAAAAAAAGGACAAATGAAGATATCAAGGTCTGTTTTATTTTGCGCTGAACTGTAAAATGCCACCCTTGTTGGACAGAAGATCACTGATTCTGAGCAGGGCTCGCTGACTGCTAACTTGTGGGTAGTGTTTCACTTTCAGCAACTGTTAATATCCGGGCTTATCCAGGCATAATGACCTCACTAGTTGTGACACATTGTTGAATTTTCTGGTTCTTTTAACTTATTTAGACCTTTCTCCCCCCCTTTCTATTCATTGGAAGACTGGAATGATCCTGAGCCGGGCGATAACACAGGGCTGCCTGGCTATTGGTCACCCAATCACAGTCAAGCCTGCCGAGGGAACATCACTAGAAGGGTACAAATTAATCCTACAGAAAAGGTAATGCTTATGAGCTATTTGGCTCAAAATAATGAATGTTAATTTCAAGATTTCTGAGCAGTCAAATCATGATGCCTTCCAGCTTAGATGGAATATTCATTAGGTGTTTAAATTTGTGTTCATAATATCAATATTAATTTCCTATGTAAAATAAGCTTGCAAATATATGCTACTTAGTTTGGTAGCATTTCTTAGGTATTTTCAAAAGCGAAATGTTGGCGTTCAACATGTATCCATGTTGTAGACAAGCTGCCGCTCTACTCTATAATTATTCGAACTCATTTCTTTATATCCATATTGGTTGTTAATTTAAATATTTAATGTTCTGTGTGTATTCTTAACCTTTTCTAAATCTTCTGAATATGAAATATTGAACTATGAAAGAAAATTGAGGAGACAGAAATTGCTGATTTGTAAGGCCTCAAGTCTCCTTTTTATTTGTTTTTGCTGACTTAGGAAAGTCAAAATCAAAATGAAAACAGATTTAGAAAAAATTAGGAATGAGGAACCAACAGTATAGAAATATTATTTCCTAGAAACTTTTTTTCTTGCTCATTTGCCTTTCAGTTTCACCTAGAATTGACAAAAACAAGTCCTACTGTGCTTCAGGACTTAGAAAACTATTATCCAACTACTTTTGGGTGGATAAAATGTGCTTTGGGCTGAAACCAGAACTGGGATACTTAGGCACCAAAGACACCAGCCCAACCACAAATAAGAAGGGATATTTTCTTTAATAGACAGAGCAGATTGTCCAGCATGTATTAGAATATCACATAAAGGTTAAGTGTTATGTGGTCTACAGAGTCAGATTCCCTGGTGTAAATCTTAGCTTATTTCTTATTCTAACAACAACAAATTCTGAACCAGACACTATTCTAATTCCTTTATATTTTATTGTCACATTTAATCCTAATAACAACTGGATAAGGTAGCTATCATTATTATTATTATTACAGATGAGGAAAATGAAGTACAGAGTAATCACTTACTCAAGGTCATGCCTACTAACTGGTTGGAGAAGAATGCAAACTCAGGCAGTCAGACACTATAACCCACTCTTAGCCACAAGGTGACACTGTGTATAGATCAAAACCCAATCAAGAAATTGCTAATGAGTGCCATGTGTGGTAGTAAATACCTCAGTGGAGGAGCAGGTAATATTAATTAAGAAACCTAGGCAGAAGGGAGACGGAGACAGTATGCTGGCATCATAGCATCATAGCAAACTAGCTGTGCTATTAGGGTGCTAAACATATGGTTTCTAAGGAGGGTCACACAAGCCCAAAGCAATTCCCAATTTGATGTGGTGTTGTATGTGAAGTGGATAACAAGATTTCTGGGGCAGAATCAGTGCTGTAAACTGGAGACAAACCAAGAATCATCTTCTAGTGATAATGACAAGTCCAAACCACTGACCATGGAACCAGAGATGCTTCAGCTGACATTGTCCATCGTTATAATAAAGTCAATCAATTGTAACTGGCCCAGAAATGACATAAAATATAGAATTAATGCACACGACATTAAAACAGTTGTTATAATTGTATTCCATATATTCAAGAAGCTAAAGAAAAGATGGAACATGTTAAATATAGACTTGGAAGATAGAAAAAGACTCAAATCAAATTTCTAGAGATGAAAACTGCAGTATATGAAATGAAAAATATGCTGTGACTAGTGGAAGATTAGACATTGTTGAAGAATATATTCGTGATCTTGAGCAGATAGCAATACAAACTACTTACAATGAAAGCTAGAAAGAAAAAAAATTAGGTATAATTTATTGTCAAGTTAGCTAACATACAGTGTATACAGGTGTATACAGTGTTCTCTTGGCTTCAGGAGTAGATTCCTGTGATTCATCACTTGCATAAAATACCCAGTTGCATAAAATACCCAAATACTTGTTGGCTCATACCAACAAGTGCCCTCCTCAATGCCCGTCACCCATTCCCCCCCATCAACCCTCAGTTTGTTCTCTGTATTTAAGTGTCTCTTATGGTTTATCTTCCTCTCTGTTTGTAACTTTTTTTTTCTTCCCTCATGGTCTTCTGTTAAGTTTCTCAAATTCCACATATGAGTGAAAGCATGTCTTTCTCTGACTGGCTTATTTCACTTAGCATAATACCCTCCAGTTCCATCCATGTTGTTGCAAATGGCAAGATTTCATTCTTTTTGATTGCTGAGTGATACTCCATTGTATGTGTGTGTATGAGTGATACATCCATACAAGGTGTGTATGTATATATGTGTGTGTGTGTGTGTGTATGTATATACACACACACACACACACACACACACACACACACACAC